AATAATAATAATAATATTATTATTATTATTATTATAAATGAAAATAATAATTATAAACAATTTAATAAATTTTATTTTACTAATTTGGTGGGTATTTGGACCGCATACATTACTCTAATGACTAGGCATACATTCTGTAAGTATTATCCTATTGACTAGGCATCTTAGATAACAAAATGAATATCGATAGAATCCAAGGATAAACAAATACACTATTGTCCACAAGAATTAACCCTATTGTTATGCATTCATGTGTATATGGATTGGTATGCATTCCAAGATACCCACATTCAAACATAATGATCTTTTTTAGAGCAACCAACATTTTCAGTATTGTTAGATATCCTTCCTACCAGTATCTGAAATGCAAAATTAAATAATGGAAAGCGAGTAGAGAGGGATTAGATTTTTTTTACTTATAAGGAAATCTTTCATTAAAATTATTTTCTTTTTTCCGTTATAAGATATCACAGGAAAAATCAAATTTAAATGAAGACAGTACAAAGAAATATTAAGATTGAATTTCTGAATATTATTCCAAAGACGAACTTATTAATGGTCTTTGGGAGAAAAATGATTGAAAAATGGCAGAGAACGGTAGGGTCAATGTACAAAAGAAGTGTCAATGACCTCTGGTTGGTTATGTTTAAAAGAACCTGGAATAGATTAAAAAAAAAACCCAGACCAAATAAACCTTAAGGGAGACATCTTTTAACGTACATAATCAAATGAGGAAGTTTAATTAAAAGTTGGTGGTATTATTTATTATTATCCTTGATCCAATTGACATTACTTAGTCTAAACTATGATTTAGTATTACTCAGCTAAATTTATGTTATTCTCAAGGACTTCTTTTCTAAATTTATATTTTATGAAATGAAAAAACAGGGGGAAAAGAATTTAAAATGGATTTCATCTATACATTCAATTTTTTGTATTTTAAACACAAATATATTTGCAAAAGTATTAAGTTCTTTCGTATTATTTTAAAAACCAAGAAGTAACCAATTAAAAACACGACATCATACACGTTAATTTAAGTCAACTTTGTACGTTTAATCATTTACATATTAGTTCATGAATATGCCAGAAAAGAAATCCTTGGATTGCTTATTTTAATTTACATTTTCCATTAAACGTAAAGTGACAATAAATAAATGGAATTGGATTTTTTAAGCTTTCACCATCCTTTCACACATATCTTTGGATAGTTAAATTCCACAACTCTCAAGGCTAAAATGAACAGTTTAGAATGGTATTAGGTCATAATTGTTAGGCCATTATTTAAACACTGAAATTTCTACGGATTTTTCCGTTTACCCGATCATGACAAGCAGCACACGGCGGATGTGACCGGTCGACAGGGGATGCTTACTTCTCCACTGCACCTGATCGGCCTCTGATGTTTTTGGAGGTCGGTGTTTGCTCTGCTCCCGATTTGTATTGTTTGAATAGACAATGAGCTTGAATACTGTTCGTTATCTCCGTATTTCACATGAAGATAGCGAACAGAAATCAAGCCCAAAAGTCCATTGGAAAAATACAAATCGAGAACAGAGCAATCATTGGAAATAAAACTTTACTAAATATGCACTAAATATGCACCTAATATACACTAAATATGCACTAAATATACACTAAATTTGCAGTAAATATACACTAGATATGCACTTGATTTGCGCTAAATATACACTAAATATGCTCTAAATATACACTAAATATGCTCTAAATATGCACATTTCAAATAGTTTTGAATAAACTTTTACATTACTTGTGTTGAACTGTATCTGAACTTGCACTTTTGTAACTTGATGTACACTAAGGTGTTAATAACTCATTTAAATTTAAACTGAAAATAAAAGTTGAACAAACAAAATGAAAGCTTAAAATCATATTATTCACCATTGGCACAAAAACTAAAAGTTCCAAGAGTAATATAATTGGAGAAACTCTGGCAGTTTTGTTCGATGTCAGGGTAGTTTTTATTCTTAGTTCGCTACAAATATCTACATAGAGTATTTTAGCAAAGACACTTTTCGTGAGGGGCTGGGAAATCTCTAGATTTGCCGTGATTTTTATATTTTCACTAGTAAATTAACCACTTTTTTATATTTTCACTGTAAAAATATATTTTGTGAAAATATCACTGGGATAAATTTGCAATATTTCAGTATTGAAGATGCAATAATTTATTAACATATGCACGGGAAAAGACTCTAAATAATATTAATTTAATTTCTGGAGTTTTTTCTCTCTTTTTTTAAAGTCCTTATCTATAAAGATGATTTCTTTACTCAATGTTGCCGTTTTGAGCATGAATTAAAAGAAAGCGTGTAACATCTACCAGGAACACACTATTGGGATCTCTGATCATAATGACATTTGAATGCATTTCTTTTAATGTGTTTGCACACACTAAGTGAGCAGCATTGTGTCTTCCCTACAGAGCAGTTTAACATACGTCATAACAGCACTATGTGTTATCCTCAGTATTTATACGTTCTATGCTCCTCCTAAGCACCTAATCCAACTGGAATTTCCAGAGGTCTGTGTTTTATGCCCTCTTCACAAATTTGTATTGTACACGTATTTTTCTTTAGATTGATCACTGTTCGTTATCTCCACCTTTTCTTCATTTAGGATTTATAAGCGAGTCAAAATTTTCACGAATGTTAGTCATTGTTGTATATAATCTTGAAATATTGAAAAAGAATGAAATTTTCGTGAGCAGTCTCGTTATAACGCTAAAATAAATTTCTCTCAAATAAAAAGAGATTTACTCATATTGTTCGAATTACAATGTCATAAGGTTAAAAACATACAATATATATGCTAATTATCCTGTCCCTACGTAAGAGAATTCTAAAGATGTGTTACCGATTTGGAGCATTCTTGAAAAGTAGGTGAAAGGTTAAAACAAAAATGTAATTCTGATATTTTTTACAAGGTTTTATGACAAGTAGGACAATTACTAAATATTTCAGAATTACCTTTCACCTTTCAAAGAATTTAGTTAACATCAGAATTATTAACTGCTTTGGAAAGCAGGTCAAAGGTCAAGCAGAAGATTTCGATGTAACTAATCCTTTTATTTTATATTAAAAAAAATTCTGTCAAGAAATACCTGAAATAAAGTCATCTCTAACAGTTTTCAAGACATATGGTACGACAGATGACACAGACAGACAGGAGACGAGCAAAGTGTTCCCAAAGTATCGCTCTACTTGCAGGCAACACAACAAATAAACATATTAACAAAACAAGGTCCCTTTTATGCTGGAGGATTTCAAGCTGAATTGCTACTCAAGCTTGGCGTATTTAGAAGTAAAAAAAAAAAAACATTCAGGAAATAGTGTTTCAAACTTAAGAATCCATATTTTTAACTAATTTTTTGCAATTGAAAATGTAGGAAAACTTTTTTAATATCCTTAAAAACTTTTTAAAAGATTTTTGCATTGTGAAAATGATAAAATTAAAGAAAGATTTTCTGTAAAACTTCTTACTGGAATAAATTTGCCTTTCTCTTAGCCGCCAGTTTTACTGTGTGGGGGGTAGTGGTAGCGAGACATGAACAACAGAGACATCTTCTACATCAAAGATTAATGGTTCATACCAATAGCTTAAAACTACAAATCTGTTTTCCCTGAAGCAAATAATCAACGTTTCTGAGTATGTCAATGTCTTGACTAAAGGATTATCTTTTCAGTACGGATACTTATCTGTTTACTGTCTTAACCAGATAGCAAGACCATTTCTGATTATGGATATGTGTTTTCTATCTTGACCAGATGGCTAGACCATTCTAGTTTCGGATATGTTTTACTGTCTTTATCTGATAGCTAGACCATCTTCTGTTTATAGATATGTGTTTTCTATCTTGACCAGATGGCTAGACCATTCTAGTTTCGGATATGTTTTACTGTCTTTATCTGATAGCTAAACCATCTTCTGTTTACAGATATGTGTTTACTGTCTTGATCTGGTAGCTAGACAATCTTCTGTTTATTGATATGTGTTTCCTATCTTGACCAGATGGATAGACCATTCTATGTGTTTCCTATCCTGACCAGATGGATAGACCATTCTATGTGTTTCCTATCCTGACCAGATGGATAGACCATTCTATGTCTTTAGTGTATTGATCTGATAGCTACACAATATTCTGTTTACAGATATGTGTTTATTGTCTTGATTTGATAGCTAGATCATTCTCTTATTAAGCATATGTGCTTTCTGTCTTAACAAGATGGCTAGATCATCTTCTGATTCTAGATATGTGTTTACTGCCTTGATCTGATACTTAGCTAGACCATCTTCTGTTTACAGATATTTGTTAACTGCCATAACCAAAAAGCTAGACCATCTTCTGCTTACAGATATATGTTTATTGCCTTGATCTGAGAGCTTGTTAGCTAGAAAGTCATCAAGGAGATGACATTTAAAGCTTGTTTAAAGATTTCAAGTTGTTTATCTTTTTTAAATATGTAAATTATATATATATATATATATATATATATATATATATATATATATATATATATATATATATATATATATATATATATATATATATATATATGCTATTATATTGCAAGTTCAGTGATCTAAAATAATATATTTCAAAATCATAGAATTCCTATTAAAATTGACCATTCTTTTTCAGAACTGTAAGAGTTGTATCAACGAAATAAGGAGATAAGGAACTGTAATCAAGCTCAAAAGTCTATTGAAACAATACAAATCGGGAGCAGAGCAAACTCGGACCTCAGAGGTTGGATCAGGTACCATGGAGGAGTAAGCATCCCTTGTCAACCGGTCACACTCGCCGTGTCCATTGTCATGATCGGGCAAACAAAAATCCGTAGACGATTCAGTGTTTGAGAAAATGGCCTAACAATAAGTATGGGAAAAAAACATCAATCAGCATTTGATATCATCTACTAATTCAAATGAAAAACCCAAAACGAAATTTGCAATCTTAAGAGTAAAATAAATTCCGATTTCTTTTTATGGTTTTTTTTTATTTCGGCAAGAAAAACTGGAATCCATACATCACATAAACATTTTCAATGTTTTAATATTCCAGTGCAGAACGAATGACATATGAACTGAAAACACATTATTACATACAATAATGATTTATCTTCAACAAAAGCCATGAAAGACAACGATTTCCTTAAGGAGAAAAGTAAATAAAAATCCAGTTTGGTTAGCTTATGTCTAAAATATATGAATCTCCAATAAACAAGCAAAAAATACGATAAAAAGATAAAAATACACAGGCTGAAAATAACAATTACTGTCTGAAGAGAATGAAAAATTCATACAAGTAAAGGTATTCCTAAATGTTTATTCTGGCAAAAATACTTTAATGTGTGCTTTGCTAAAACACTGAACAATACTTTTACTTAATCAATGGATTAAGCTACTTATCTTGAAACGTTTATTTGGATTGCCCATTCTTTTTTTTTTACTATCATCAGAAAACTGAATTGTCAAAATGAAATTTGCAAATATATAACAATGGAATGTTATAATTCGCAACATAATATTTTTTTTTTTTACAATAAATGACTACCAAACAAAACGAAATGTCACAATACACAATTAACTCTGCTTTAAAGAACACAGACACAAATAACAAATTTTTGCTGTTTTTTCCTTATCTACGGAACCTATTCTAATGTTGACAATTAATTTTATTTTGTAAATCCGAAAGGTACAATATACTCCAAAGTATCCTCAAAAGATCTTTCCAAAATTATGCATTTTATTATAAATTAAGTATATTGGGGGGGGGGGGGATGCTTTAAACACTTTTTGAAAAATCAATAATTTATATCTAAGGTCTTATAAATTAGTCGGATTAAGCTTCCTTTTTATTTCTGACTATACAAATGTTTCAAAAATATTTGAGTATACTAAAGAAGGGCATTCTTGGGGAAAACAAATAACAGTCGACTAAGGAAATAGGTAAAACACAAAATCTTTAAAATGTTAAATTTTACAGAAAACACTCTTATAATTAATGTGAAGTGAAAATAACGGGCAACTATGTAAATCACTTCTACTACTACAGTTAAAATGTTAAACATTTAATATGGAATATTATATTATGCTCAACAGCAGAGAAACCAATTATAAAAAAGATAAATAGGCAATAATTCACTCAAACAACTGGCGTTACTTAATATTATTAAGCTTTGATGTGTACAGCTTATAAATCACCTTAACATGAATGAACTTGCGAATTTCTAATACAAACAATAAATCTATGTCCCTGTCCTTCCTTAATCAATCTAAATATACGTAATGACTGAATAAAAAATGTACTAATTATGCTAAATCATAATTCACCTTAGTCCTAAGCACTATTATTGAGTTTATTTTAACTCTATTTGCTAAATTAATCCAGAAAAAAAATTACAGGTAAATCTCCTTCATAGCATAATCATATTAAAGGGACATAAAAGCAACAAAAATATAAATTTGTAACTAACTGGCCAGCAACAGTAAAAGAGCAGAATTAAAATTTACTAAGAAACAATACTTAGACATTCAAATCAACAAATAAATTGAATCATTGAAAGATATATACATGTACATGCTATATAACATAAAAAAAATCCAACCATGCACCTGATAAAGGTTTAATAGAGCTTTGTTTTCAAATTAATTTCTCTCCTAATTAAAATGTGATATCATTTTCTTTATTAAACATATATTAATACTTACCCTTATCTTTGTATAATTATAAAAAGTTTCACACTTGCGAATTTTTATTTTTGAAAATTCATCACCTCTCTCATCTGACGTATTCAATGATTCATATTTAACTTTGTGTTATTTCCTTATTATGGTGAAAGAAAATAAATTGTATCATTCTTCACAATTTTCAGAAATCTTTGATTTGGAAATATTGAAACGACTTAAGCATATGACATCTCATTACCATAAATATATCAAAAGCACTAGAATGCACCTACTTTTTGAAAATTCGAGAAAATACGTTTGGAACCACGTCAGAAAAATACGCTACTTAAAGGTATTTTATCTTAATATTCTTCAAATCAGCATCAAATAACAGAAAAAGCAAGCAACAGATTGTTTTTAATATTTTTAAATATTTCCCAAGTGTGGCAGCTCACAATTCACAATCTCAGGTATATCATTAACTAGTTTGATAAATAAAATTTCGAAATTCACATAATTTTCATAATAGTGACATTCAATGAACATTTTAGTTAAAACCCCTGAGTTGTAAAGGCAATTTTAGAGATCAGTTCCTATTTAGAGAGTTTGGATTAAAATAATGATGTTAATATTTTAAACATAGTAAATTAGTATTATTTACAAAATATCTACTCTGAACTATTTTTTTTTCTCCAAATAAATTCAATTCAAATTAAGGACACATGCTACAAACAAAACATTGGATGAATGGATCGGTAGATATTTTTGGACTTCATTTTTTAATGATGCATATCTTAATTCTCTAAAGTATTCAGATCTTGTAGACTTTCTACGATACTCAAATTTCTACCTTTTTGTCATCATCCTTATAAATTCATAGTTTTATTACTTCATAACATGGAATAAAAATGAAACTTTATGTAGCTTAACTTATTCATTTTACTTATATAAACATATACTTAGTTATTTTCATGATTTTTTGATAATATGTTAATAGCATCAGTCCTTAGCATAAAACAAAATGTCTTTTCTTCAGCCTTTTTTATCATACAATGGAAAAATTCTGTTTCAGAGCATGTTAAGAACTATTTTTCACACATTTAATTATCATGATTAACATATATAAAAGCTGAATTTGCTGTCTTCTTACAATAAGTAGAGTCAATCAAAAGGTTTAATGCATTCAGAAAATTTTTATCACATATTATAAATAAATCTTAAAATCTAAAGTAAACTTTATAATAAGGTATTGCACATTTTACTCAGTTTTCCAATTTACAACAACCAATTTTTACAAATATAATGTACACTCTTCTAAACTTTAAAAGAAACAACTTTTATGTACAACGAAGATGTAAAACAGAGCATACCAGGATCCAAAAACAATGATCTGACAACACATCACAATAAACAATAGAAAAAAAATCTGATATCATTTTTATTAGTTATATTATACATTCAAATAAATAACATACCTTCCTGATAAATGGTGCTTTATCTACATTATACATACCAGATACAGAATCACTGGGTGCAACACCAATTTCATGTATAGTCAAACATTCCCAAAATCTTCTCAATTTAAAATTTTAAATTTTGTATATTACCTTGCCAGTATTTGTGAAATTTTATCCAATATATATAAATCACATACAAGCCTATCTATGGGAGGAAATTGAATTGTTTTCAAGAGAATCTAAGGGTTGGAATGCATTTGATCAAATTTGAAAGCATTTTTGCAAAACGTATTAAGTTTTTGCTCTTGAAGGATCTCACTTTCTTTCACATGATCTACCCTATGTATATTATTTAAACTTTTACACAGCCAAGAAGCAGAATCCTGTCCAATAATTAGGACACATACAGACAGACAGAAGTCTAACTACCACAGCAGCTAAATCCCCCACCAACAGTCCTAGAGTTCAGTTGTATTTTACTTGAGGAAGAATTCTCTATAGAGGTATCTCCACCATATTTTTTCTTTAGTTCCTGCAAATAAAATTAAAATTCACTTAAAGGTTAAAGGTAGGCCCTTCTACTCACTCATATAAAAGTGTGTTTAATGCTAATGGCTTTCCAAAAGAAATCTAATTCACAATTAAAATGCACACAATTTCTGCATACTTGCAGGGCTAAATGTCTGAGGTATAGCCATTTCACTTGACTTCTAAAAGCAGTTCCTATTACATCAGAACAAGAAAAATCAAAATTAAAAAAAGAAAAAGAAAAAATAGTCATTTGTTACGGAATAATAACCATTTTTTGCCCCAAAATTCAAATATACTAAAATCTATATTTAAACCATATGAATATTTGGTTATTTTAGCGACCAGTAAATTTGCATTTTACCCCCAAAAAGTGGACATTAATTATCAGCATTATCAAATTCCAATGATTTAGGAATACTTTGTTTTAATCAGAAAATATTTGTGATTAAATTAAATAGAAGCATTTAATTTTAGTGTTGTAAAGTCCGTTGCTAATAGTGCCAAAATTAGGCAAAAAGTGTGCTTCTTTGTTTGCCGACATATTTTTATATTCCTGTATAGCAGAATTCGTTAAAAAAACTTCTACAAAGGAAGAAAACACTTCCTATGGCCTTCAATAATTAAAAGACAAAAATAAAAGACACCAAAGAGTCTGCCACATGTATTTCATATCTGAATGTTTCATTGACTATAGACGAAATGAGTAAACTAACAACTAAATTGTATGACAAAAGACATAACATCAGCTTCTCCGTCGTCATATAGCAATATTCCGCTATGACCTGCATATGGTGTTTATGTCTCCTAACTTATACAATACTCAAAAGCATGCCCCGAGTACGATCAAATTTTTAAGCGAGGCAGGCTTCAGATTTGAGGTTGATGTTACAACCACCTCGTTGAAGCTCAGCATTTCATAAGTTCTATGGTCGATACAATGAACTGTTAGCAAATATAACCTATCATTGGATCGTATTTTGACTGATATACGTGGGTTAATCCAAAAGTTATATCGCAAATGCTATAAATTCTTTAATAATCGAAAGTTTTCATCAAACCTGTATGTACTAATATCTCGATCTACTTTGACTTTTGCTCTAAAATGTCATTCAGATATATACCATACTTTATAAAATATTAGAATAAACACCATGCTGGGTCTCGTTCATCGCCGCACGACAAGAGTGTGCCAACGTCATTATGATATTTCTCTTCGACACTCATTTTGAATCTGATAATACATAGATTTACGCAAAAAGAAATGAGTTTAGAAATAACATTTGGACAAAGTTCAGATAATTTTAATACTACAACTCAAAAGAAGATGGTGTATAGCAAAATGACAGTAAGGGTTATTAAAAGAAGTACGTGAGAGGTTAAAAATGTATGCGGATGAAATGAAAATGAGTGCCAAAAAGTAACGTCATAACGACGTTGGTAACAGTCTCGCCGTGCGGCCATGAAACAAGAGGCCCATGGGCCACAACGCTCACCTGAGTCAATATGGCCCTGTTGTTCTTTGTCAGCAGATTTCTTCTTCTATATATTCATATGTAAAGCTTTGATCAACTGTTCTAGGCATAACCTATCCCCAATTACCATGTTTTGAATGAAATTGAATCTAAACTTTCTGAGGATGCTTCTATATTCATATAACTAATCATGGTTTTGCTGTTCTTGAAACGGAATTTTAAAGATGTCTGCCATCCTACCCTGGGGGGTAGGACGGGAGGGAGGTTCAAGATTTGAACAAACTTGAATATACACTACCTAAGGATGCTTCCATATCAATATGACTAATTATGGCTTTGTTGTTCTTGAGAAGAAGATTTTTAAAGATATTTCTTATATATTCTTTTGTTAAACTTTGATCCCCAATTATGGCCCCACCCTACTACTGGAGGATGCCTTGAACAAACTTGAATCCACAATACTTGGGGATGCTTCAATATCAAAATGACTAATCACTGCTTTCCTGTTCGTGAGAAGATTTTAAAAGATTTTTCCTATTTATTCCTATATAAAACTTTGATCCCCCATTGTGGACCCACCCTACCCCCGGGGGTTTTGATTTCGACAAATTTGAATCTACACTACCTAAGGATGATTCCATATCAATATGACTAATTGTGGCTTTGTTGTTCTTGAGAAGAAGATTTTTAAAGAATTTTCCTATTTATTCCTATGTAAAACTTTGATCCCCCATTGTGGACCCACCCTACCCCCGAGGGTCATGATTTGAACAAACTTAAATCTACACTACCTGAGGATGATTCCATATCAATATGACAAATCATGGCTTTGCTGTTCTTGAGAAGAAGATTTTTAAAGAATTTTCCTATGTATTCCTATGTAAAACTTTGATCCCCCATTGTGGCCCCACCCTACCCCTGGGGGTCATGATTTGAACAAACTTGAATCTACATTACCTGAGGATGATTCCATATTAAAATGACTAATTGTGGCTTTGTTGTTCTTGAGAAGAAGATTTTTAAAGAATTTTCCTATATATTCCTATGTAAAACTTTGTTCCCCATTGTGGCTCCACCCTACCTCCGGGGGTCATGATTTGAACAAATTAAAATCTACACTACCTGAGGATGATTTCATATCAAAATGACTAATTGTGGCTTTGTTGTTCTTGAGAAGAAGATTTTTAAAGAATTTTCCTATATATTCCTATGTAAAACTTTGATCCCCCATTGTGGCTCCACCCTACCCCCGGGGGTCATATTTTGAACAAACTTGAATCTACATCACCTGAGGATGATTCCATATCAAAATTACTAATTGTGGCTTTGTTGTTCTTGAGAAGAAGATTTTTAAAGAATTTTCCTATATATTCCTATGTAAAACTTTGATCCCCCATTGTGGCCCCACCCTACCCTTGGGGGTCATGATTTGAACAAACTTAAATCTACAATACCTGAGGATGATTTCATATCAATATGACTAATTGTGGCTTTGTTGTTCTTGAGAAGAAGGTTTAAAAGAATTTTCCTATGTATTCCTATCTAAAACTTTGATCCACCATAGTGGCCCCACCCTACCCCCGGGGGTCATGATTTGAAGAAACTTGAATCTACACTATGTAATGAAGGTTTCCCATAAGTTTCAACTTTTCTGGCCCAATGGTTCTTGAGAAGAAGATTTTTAAAAGAAGACACCAAATTTTCACTCATTCTTAATTATCTCCCCTTGGAAGAGGGCATGGTCCTTCATTTGAACAAACTTGAATGTCCTTCACCCAAGAATGCTTTGTGGTAAGTTTGGTTGAAATTGGCCCAGTGGTCTGGAGAAGAAGTGGAAAATGTGAAAAGTTTACAGACGGACGGACGGACGGACACACGGACTACGGACAAAATGTGATCAGAAAAGCTCACTTGAGCTTTCAGCTCAGGTGAGCTAAAAACCTTACGTTGTGTTTATCTTACTATTTTAAGTGTTTTATATAATCGATGAAATTTTAAAGGAAATATCAAAATAGATAGGGTTATTAAATATTTCAGATTTTGTTGATAACATTTGATTATTAAGATTTTATAGCAGCTTTGACCTTACTTTTGGAACAACCCTCGTATTTCATACGAATTGTTAGGCCTTTGTTAAATTTGATTGCGGAATATTCCGTCTACCTGTTCAATGCATGAGCTCACAACGGGTACATATGACCAGTCGACAGATGCTTACTCCTCCAAGATACCTGATCCAATCTCTGGAATTTCTTGCGGGGCCCGAACAATACTTGTCTTACAGTAGTTCAGAATATGGTCTGGTCATTAATTTTTCAATTTCATTGTTACCATTGTTATAGGGCAGATAAATACTAATACTGCATAGTCTATAGTCTTTTTGATTACTTGATGCAGAATTTGAAAGTTCAATACGTAGTAACAATTGGCACAACTCCAGCATCATGACATTTATGTTTTACTTTGGAATTAATTTTTTAATTATCACATTTTTAAACAAAAACAAGATGGAATTTTCGATGAACACAGTTTATGACATCCCAGAGTTCTCAAAAATGTTTTGTACTATAAGAAACTTTTCAACTGATTTAATATGAATATTTCTCTTATATTTCTTATGTTTAGTACGTTTTGCAGGGATATATTAAGGAGGGATTCTTCTCGTATTCATTGTAATTAATAATTAATGAATTCACAGATTCAAGAAGACAACGTATCAATTAGATTAAAATTGACCATTTCATTTGAGGAGGAATGTGAGGTCAAGGTCATTATCTTTTTAGCTCACCTGAGCTGAAAGCTCTCGTGAGCTTGTCTGATCACATTTTGTCTGTCGTTTGTCTGTCTGTAAACTTTTCAAATTTTCGACTTCTTCTCAAGGGCTAGATGCCACAAAGCATCCGTGGGTGAAGGGGATTTAATTTTGTTCAAATGAAGAGCCAGTCCTCTTTTAAAGACAGATAATCAAGAATTAATGAAAAATTGTTGGTATGTTTCAAAAACCATTGCGCAAAAATAGATGAAACTTATGTGAAACCTTCATTACATATCGTAGATTCAAATTTGTGCAAATAATGATCCCACGGGGGTAGGATGGGTCCAGAATGGGGGATGAAAGTTTTACATAGAAAAATCTTTCAAAATCTCAAGAACAGCAGTACCATGATTAGTCATATTCCTTACGTAGTGAAGATTCAAGTTTGTTCAAATCATGACCCCGGGGTAGGGTGGGGCCACAATGGGGGATCAAAATTCTATATAGGAATATATAAGGAAAAAAATCAAATCTTATCAAATCTTCTTGTCAAGAACAGCAAAGCCATGATTAGTCATAATGATATGGGAGCATCCTCAGGTAGTGTAGATTCAAGTTTGTTCAAACCATGCCCCGAGGTAGGCTGGTGACACAATGGGGGATCAAAGTTTTACATAGGCATATATAGGAGAAATCTTTAAAAATCTTCTTGACAAGAACAGTAAAGCCATGATTAGTCATGATTATATGGAATCATCCTCAGGTAGTGTAGATTCAATTTTCTTCAATCATGACCCCCAGGGGTAGGATGGAGCCACAATGGAGAATCAAAGTTTTACATAGAAATATTTAGAATTTAGAAGAAAAAAAATCTCAAGAACAGCAAAGCCATAACTAGTCACACTGATATGAAAGCATCCTTACGTAGTGTAGATTCAAGTTTGTTTAAATCATGACCCCTGGGGGTAAAATGACGCCACATTGAAGGGGGGGGGGGTGTCAAATTTTCGCATAAGAATAAAAAGGAAAAAATCTGCTGAAGAAAAAACAGGGCCATATTGACTCAGGAGGCGTCTTTGATATAAGGAATCAAAAATAACTACTGTCAATCAGATTAGATTGTTTTTTTCTTTTTAAATAAAAAGATCTTACCATATAGGATACTTCCAAACTGAGATGAACTAATTGAAACTGAAATCATATTAGTTAATCTGAATTTCCTCCATTTTTCTTAATTTTTAGGGAATACTGGTTATTTTTATATGCTTCCTATATCATTTTTTTTTAATTTTCACATCTGGTGAAGTAGTCATATGAAGATACAAATGATACCCCCAAAAAAGTTTTGACAATTTAATAAGAGAGAAACAGAACTGATTTTTTTCTCAAATTGGTTCTACGTTTGAAAGTTTTCTAAAGCTAGCAAGATTGTAGTTTGTTTGGAAAACTATATTTATTTGATAAAATGTAAAACTTTAGTCCATTATGATTAATTTCAGTGACTTCAGAAAAAATCTTTTTAGCCTTTGTTTGTTTAAAAATGTGAACTGAATTTATTATTCTTTACTAATTCTTAGAAGCAGAAAAGATGCTTTCATATGCCATCGTTCCACCAAAAATATAGTCCCTACTAGATTTCAAACTCATTTTACAATTTTTATTTAAAGTTGTACAATTATGAGAAGGAAAGAAAAATATGATCTTTTAAATCCCTAATATCTAAATATAAAAGACATTTAAGCAAACATATTTTGAATATTTAATTTAGTTAGAAACCAGAAAAGAATCCCTCGAATGTCACTTGTCAGTTTTTGAGAAAAGTTTAGTCAAATCCTATTAGGGCTGAGGACGATAGGCATATCGATACGTATGAAGAAATATAGAAATATCGTCCAGAAAGTTCTGACTTATGTTTTTCTTTGTTTACTTAACATTTTGGGTTAAATATATAGATTAAATGTTAAATAAAAATTTAAATATGGAGTACATAATAATTAACACCACTTGTGTAAAATAATTTTGTTTTAGAACAGATATACAACTTCTTTGAATAAATTATTCTTATTTGTGAAGAAATGTTTAATTTGTTCATTTCAATAAGAAAAAAAGATTTTAAAACCAATTCAACATGTCGTGATACATACTGTATCGTGATCCGTATCGATATAGAAAAAGTAATATCATCCCTAGAACCTATAATATCAAAATTATTCATTATAATTTTATAACATATTTGAATTCAGCATTGCAAATTGTACAGCATTCAATTGAAAACATGCTCTCAAAATTGGCAAGAGATAAGTATTGTGGGGTATATTTCTTGGGTGGAAGAATATAAAAAAATTCTCAAAATATACAGATTTGATTAAATCAATATGTTGGAACTTTGGCCATGCATATTTTTACTCGCAGAAATTTTCACAATATTATATGCTAGGAATATTCAATGTAGGCTTTGAAACAATTTTTTCTTCATAATTTGCCAAAAATTGCAGATATACTAAAAAAAAGTCAACATAAAATTTACTTTCTTTTATGGACTGAAATTTGCATAATTTGACATATTTCTAAACATCTACACCACTGGCCCCAACTTTTTATTTCATTTTTCTTTTAAAGTACACCATACTCCTTATGCCTAAACACTTAATAAAAAGTTTGATACAAGAAAACATTATAATGAGTGTTTAGAATTTTAATACCCAAAAAATATTATTATTTTATCGGTGCAAAAAGGTCACATGCATAATAATATATGCTCGTTAATTGGCATTTTTTTTTTAATTTAAACTATTTTAAATTAAATAAAACTACATTAAGGACATATGCAACGTACCTTACCTACTGATATTTTTTTCAAGATATTCTTAATTTAAGATTATTGTGTCATCAGATGTTCATAGACAAAAAATTAGCATGCTTTTCCAGGGGTTTTGAAAAGATATCAATTAATGAAAATTTTTGTATAATTCAAAGAAAAATATACAAAAATACTAAACATATATTCTAGATGTTTTGTTTATCCAAACTTGTTTTAGAAGAAATGTAGAACAGCATATATAGACAATAAAATGTAGCACACAGTTCCTTTAAGTATTGGAACTCTTCAACTCCAGGGAAAAAGACAATAAAATTCAAACTACGTTGCGTATGTCCTTAAGTCATGCTTACATGCGAAAGGTGAAAATAATGAACTGTGACAGATCTCAAAAAATCTAAAAACAATACAAATCTTTGAACAGGGTATTAAACACAGGCCCCAGAAAATTCCAGAGGTGGGATCAGTGCTTAAGAGGAGTAAGCATCCCCTGTTGACTGGTCACACCTGCCGTAAGCCCTATGTATTGATCAGGTAAATGGAACTTCAGTTTAAAAACAAAGACCTAACAATTGGTATGAAACATGTCAGTCAAAATACGATCCAATGATACGTTATATTTGTTAATAAGGTCATTATAACAACCATAGATCTGATAAAATATGAATGAGATAAAAGTGATTACAATAAAAGTTATGAAGTCCAAAAGTCAAGTTTATTGTACTGTTGCTCTGTAATTTTTCTTTTCAATTTTGAGTTATTCTGTATGAGCAGATATATAAAATATCCTTCTAAAAAATCTTTGATATAACCAGCTGTGTCAGGAGCATTCCTTTTATAATTAATTTTGATGTACAAAAGCAATCAGTTAATTTGTAACTAACTGTGTTAGAGGCATAGGGTTCTATTTCAAGGGTACCAATGCCTTACACAAAATGCTCTGATTCTGAGAATTGGTATGAGTATCTGTGATCCTATGCATTCTTGTTTCATGCCTTAGCCCCCTCTTTAGCTTATTTACAAAAACACAGAGGGAAATAAACTGTTTGAAAACTTTACATTTTTCCTAAAATTCACAAACAGAAAATAAGCACGAAACATTGTACGCTAAATAAATGGTGTGAAAGGATGATGATTGAGCATTCATGCAGAAGAGATACATTTTTTCATGTATAATATGAATGATTTTGTGGGTTGCAAAATTAACCAAATCTTGTTATTTTTGTATGGAGAATGTCTTATTTCTATTAGGAGTGATTTATGTAGGAAATGTTTCTATTTGATTAAGTGAAATGTTCTCTCAAATTAGGAAATAAATGTTGATATCCAAACTTGCACAAGAAACTACATAAAACAAGTCTTAAACTTCCTTCATTTATGTTATAGAAATCTTCACGAGATGAGCAATGTGTTCACTCAGCCATGAACAACCGTCATCAACACAGACTAGACACTATAATAAGATGAGAATTACATATAGAGGCTTAATTATTGCAGGAACACTGGAAGTAAATCAGCAATACTGAATAGATTCCACATCTTTAAAGTTTTTTTTACCTTCATATGAAAATTAAAGCTTAATTGTTTCTGATTTTTTCCTCTTCCAGGTCAAATCTAAGCTATATCCTCTAGATTTGTAGATGTGTAGTTATAAGGAAAATCAGGCTTTGCACATATTTTTTTTGTAAATGCATAATGTCAAAATTTAAATTCCCACTGATGCTGACAAAGGAGATGATTAAAGCCTAACCTTTTGATCATAGAAAATGAATGCAAACATTAAGGCTCATTCATCCTCTGATAAGAGAGGTAACTCTCATTGAGATTAATGACCATTATTTCCTTAAAATTGCAATTTTTGTAAAATTTTGCACCTCATGGTTTGCTTGAATTGTTTGTAGCCTGATTATAAATTACATTTCATTTAGAAAATCATTATTGTTACCATGGTTACAACAAAATTTTATGAGTGAAAGAAGGATGATGAACGTAAACCCAAGGAAATTTTTCCCAGTTTTTCCTTTGCTAACACTTGGACTGATCCCAAATATACAGCAGAAATCAGTGGCAGTTTTGTGTGATCTGAATATAACAATATGCCCCCACTTATAAAATTTCAAAAATGGAATTATGATACCTCAAAGATCAAGGTGTCATTGTCACATTTGTCAATATAAACCTCAAAAATCTGAAGACAGAAAATGTGAAGCAGACGTCGACATGTTTTCAGAGTACAGTTGTACCTTATCATTGCCCTCTAAAGATAATATAAAAGTACTCTATTTTCTATATTTGAAATCTAGGACTTTGAATACTTGATATGTGAGGGGTTTTCTCCACCAACCAATCAATGACATGTTTTCAAATTCATTTTCAAACAACTGTAATAAAATAATAATTAATGTAATAAAATTGATAAAATGTCTTTTTAAATTAGTTGTACTTTATTGAGTCACCTTCTCAGCGTACAAGCTAACTTTTGCCATTTCTCTGGCACTTGTTTCTATGGTTTACCTTTGCCATTTCTGTAAACAGTTCTTCTATATTAGTGTTCTCTTTGGCACTTGTTTCTATGGCATCAATCATGCCATGATGTTGAGCAAAGGCCTTTGCTTCTGACAAATTCACTTCTCGTAAATGTTCCATGTCTTTTTTGTTTCCTGTAATCAAAAAAAAAAAAAAAACAATCAAATAAAAGATTTATTTAATACTCAAAGTGTATGTATTTCAATATTTACTTGATAGAGTCTGTTCATGTGTAAATTTGTCACAAAATTCTGTTAATTCTTAAAATTCCAGAATTTACTCTGAGGCTCCAAGATATGTCCCCAAATAACAACTCTGCCTCAATAATACTAGGCCTCATATTGAACAATACTCCAAATCTGAGCATGATTTTTTGTGAATTTACATTGACTATAAGATCACAGTCATGCCTTGAACAAATTTCTTTTTAAGATTTTGACTGAGGTAAGTTATAAAAAGTAAATGTTTTGTGTACATGTATGTATGATCCATCAGTAAAATAAATACTTTCACATTTGAAGTATCAGTTAACCCTGTATTTTATTATTTTGTGTTTAACTTGTATTAAAAAAAAACCTTTTTGTACGTCTTCTGGTTAAAAGCTTAATTCAATTTCTCCTCAAGGATGGAACATTTTATACTCTCAGCACTTACTCCAATAAATTTAAATAGAAATTAAAATAAATGTACATACATTGTATATACAAAGAGATGTCAAAGCTGGGACACACGAGTTTGCAAGTTTATTTTGATGGAATATTGATAAAACATTCTAATACAAGTCTTTTAATAAGACAGTCATTTCAAGGTATCCTACATTTACATCAGCCAGTACACAGAGGGTATAAACACATAGTAAGTACATGTACATAATTAGTGTAATTAACACTTCTGTTCTTGTGATATTTAGTGACATTAAGGTTTATTTCTGTAATTCCCTACCTGATGGTTTTATATAATTCCAGAAAGTTCACAAGACATTTAAATGGCCTCAATATTATAAATATTATATTATCATGGTGTGAAACAAAAAATTACAGGAGTTAAAAACCTTAATATCATGACATAAGGTGGAATTTATTTGGAAAATGTGAAGGTATTAGTATTCAGGGTGTTGAAATATCACAGTTGAGAAACTGATGTCCAAGATTTCATAACAAAATAGAGGTTCATTAAATACCTGAATTCAATATCAAATACTTTAAAATACACCCTATTTTCAGGTATTTCTCTATACAAAATTCTTAAAAGTTCCTTGAAAAATTCCATGGTTATAACAAACTCTGTTACAATGAATTTATGGATTTTGTGTCCCCTAAACAATAAGAATGACAAAATTTACATTTCTATGAAGAATTTTTAAAGATCTCCTAGCTTAAAAATTTTGAATGGACAAAATCTTTCGCTTAACTTAGTAATTATATTTGAAATTCAATTTATCAGAGAACTTTAGTAATTTGATCAAGGTAAGTTTTGTTTGACTTACTTCCCTGACATATTCAGTAGTCAAATCCTTATATTTACATAAGGCAGTAATGAAAAATTAATATCCTTGTATTTACATAAGGCAGTAATAAAAAATTAATATCCATGTATTTACATAAGGTAGTATTTAAAAAAAATAATATCCTTATATTTACATAAGGCAGTTATAAAAAATAAACATGTTTTTAATAATGCATTTTTTTTATTAACAATCACTGAAAAATTATAATTCAATGTGTATTTGAGACAGAATAAAGTAAGCATTTTTTTTTTAAAATGCCAATCTTCATGTGTTAATTTCCCAATCTACATGTACAGTATGTCTCCTAGAGTTCAGATATAAAAAGAATAAATATATCTTCTGTTGTCAGGGGAGACATAAATTATTGTATAGATTTTTAAATAATTTTCATACATTTGTGGTGGTAGAACAAAGACCAATAACTCTTACAATGCATACAATTCTACCATTATTTGGGAAGTTAAGTCCCCCTTAGTAAAACTTGATCAGTATATGCATAAAAAGGATGAATGCACTAAATGCTGGGTGTGGATTTTTTTTTTTTTTTTTTTTTTTTTTTTTTTTTTTTTTGGGAGGGGGCACATTTGTTACTTTCATATCTTACTTAATTTCACTTCTGTTAATTCATTTGTTAATGAATCTGCTAAATTTCCAACAGAATTTTTAAATGTCAACATAGTTTTAGAGTGTAATGCTATTTAATGTCAACATAGTTTTAGACTGTAATGCTATTTAATGTCAACATAGTTTAAGACTGTAATGCTATTTAATGTCAACATAGTTTTAGACATGCTATTTAATGTCAACATAGTTTTAGACTGTAATGCTATTTAATGTGAACATAGTTTTAGACTGTAATGCTATTTAATGTCAACATAGTTTTAGACTGTAATGCTATTTAATGTCAACATAGTTTTAGACTGTAATGCTATTTAAAATAAAGGGGTGTTTTCATCATCATGTCTACTGCTTTGCAAATATCGAGAATTAACACCGAGAATTAACATTTACCTGCCCTTGAATAGGATGATAAATATGCATGAAAGGTGGAGCAAATTCGTAAATATGGGTCTAAAATTAAACTAGCTTAACAATGTAACATATACATAAAAAAATATGTGATGTCTCTCTCTCTCTCTTTTCCTCTCCCCCTGACTTCAGTACATGTTTAAGAAATAAGGTATGATTTTAAAAGTTTTATAGGGATGTAAATACGGGTTGGTCATGTGATCAAATCCCATAAAGCCCGATACCTTATTACTTATATTTACATTTGTGACTGATTTATTACAAATAGTAAGGTACTAAAGTTTTAAACCCATAAATGATTTATTTTTTTTCAAAACTCAACGGTATAAATTGAACATGTTAAACACGTTGATCTCTTATGACGTCACTATGAAATTACATAGATCGTTTGTGACTAAACAATTAATTAATGGTCACATGACGAACTTGTTTTACACGGGTGTAAAAATGCCTTGTTCAAATAATGATATATAATGGAAAACATTTGCAAATGTAAATATATATGTATTATTAACAATATATGGGCTTTTACACATACCCTCTAGTTGCCCAGTCACTTACTTGGTAAAGCACATAATGCTCTTTTAGTGCCTATCTACGATACACTGTACAATGTCTGGTATTACCTATCTATGATACACTGTACAATGTTTGGTATTACCTATCTATGATACACTGTACAACGTTTGGTATTACCTATCAATGATACACTGTACTAGGGGTGCAACGATACACTAACCTCACGGTACGATACGTATCATGGTATTCAGTTCATGATACGATACGTATCACGATACAAGGTTAAAAAGTCTTTCAAGTTTGTCATCATATTTTTTTTAATCTTGACAGGGTAATATAAAATGTTCATATTTTTTTTAATAATAATTAGAATAAAATTTTGTTAACTTGAATTTGATTGTTGGGTAGATCTTTGAGTTTTGACAATACTCTAAACCAATGATGAACATTTACATTGTACAATGTCTGGTATTACCTATCTATGATACACTGTACAATGTCTGGTATTACCTACCTATGATACACTGTACAATGTTTGGTATTACCTACCTATGATACACTGTACAATGTTTGGTATTACCTACCTATGATACACTGTACAATGTCTGGTATTACCTACCTATGATACACTGTACAATGTTTGGTAATACATATCTATGATACACTGTACAATATCTGGTATTACCTATCTCTGATACACTGTACAATGCCTGGTATTACCTATCTCTGATACATGTACAATGTCTGGTATTACCTATCTCTGATACACTGTACAATGTCTGGTATTACCTATCTATGATACACTGTACAATGTCTGGTATTATCTATCTATGATAAACTGTACAATGTCTGGTATTACCTATCTATGATACACTGTACAATGTCTGGTATTACCTACCTATGATACACCGTACAATGTCTTGTATTACCTATCTATGATACACCGTACAAGGTTTGGTATTACCTATCTATGATACACCGTACAATGTTTGGTATTACCTATCTATGATACACTGTACAATGTCTGGTACTACCTATCTATGATACACTGTACAATGTCTGGTATTACCTATCTATGATACACTGTACAATGTCTGGTATTACCTACCGATGATACACTGTACAATGTTTGGTATTACCTACCTATGATACACTGTACAATGTTTGGTATTACCTACCTATGATACACTGTACAATGTCTGGTATTACCTACCTATGATACACTATACAATGTTTGGTAATACATATCTATGATACACTGTACAATATCTGGTATTACCTATCTTTGATACACTGTACAATGTCTGGTATTACCTATCTCTGATACATGTACAATGTCTGGTATTACCTATCTCTGATACACTGTACAATGTCTGGTATTGCCTATCTCTGATACACTGTACAATGCCTGGTATTACCTATCTCTGATACATGTACAATGTCTGGTATTACCTATCTCTGATACACTGTACAATGTCTGGTATTACCTATCTATGATACACTGTACAATGTCTGGTATTATCTATCTATGATAAACTGTACAATGTCTGGTATCACCTATCTATGATAACTGTACAATGTCTGGTATTACCTACCTTTGATACATCGTAAATGTCTGGTATTACCTATCTATGATACACCGTACAATGTCTGGTATTACCTACCGATGATACACTGTACAATGTTTGGTATTACCTACCTATGATACACTGTACAATGTTTGGTATTACCTACCTATGATACACTGTACAATGTCTGGTATTACCTATCTATGATACACTGTACAATGTTTGGTAATACATATCTATGATACACTGTACAATATCTGGTATTACCTATCTTTGATACACTGTACAATGTCTGGTATTACCTATCTCTGATACATGTACAATGTCTGGTATTACCTATCTCTGATACACTGTACAATGTCTGGTATTACCTATCTCTGATACACTGTACAATGCCTGGTATTACCTATCTCTGATACATGTACAATGTCTGGTATTACCTATCTCTGATACACTGTACAATGTCTGGTATTACCTATCTATGATACACTGTACAATGTCTGGTATTATCTATCTATGATAAACTGTACAATGTCTGGTATTACCTATCTATGATACACTGTACAATGTCTGGTATTACCTATCTATGATACATCGTACAATGTCTGGTATTACCTATCTATGATACACCGTACAATGTTTGGTATTACCTATCTATGATATACCGGACAATGTTTGGTATTACCTATCTATGATACACTGTACAATGTCTGGTACTACCTATCTATGATACACTGTACAATGTTTGGTATTACCTATCTATGATACACCGTACAATGTTTGGTATTACCTATCTATGATACACTGTACAATGTCTGGTACTACCTATCTATGATACACTGTACAATGTTTGGTATTACCTATCTATGATACACCGTACAATGTCTGGTATTACCTACCGATGATACACTGTACAATGTTTGGTCCTGCATATCTCTTCACATCCTCAATCCACCGGGGCACACTCTCAAATGTCCCCTTCTTTGTGATGTCATAAGCTATAATTACACCATTGGCACTGCGGTAATAACTCTGAGTGATGGTTCTAAACCTTTCTTGTCCAGCTGTATCCCAAATTTGGAGCTGAAATTTTGGAAAGTATTGATATAACCATCCTCACAATGTCAAGGTTTTGTGATTTCAGAACTCCACACAAACCCTTGATATGTCGTTATTTAAAAGTTGGGCTAGAAAGCTACTATTTGATTTGTTCCTGGTCTAGGACTGGAACCAATCAGAAAACAGTTTTTATTGTGGGTAAGTTTTGTAAACAAATATGACTGTCACTCGTTTTTAAAATGGAAAGTGTCAATATTGTAGGATTTGTGATTAGTTACTTTAAATGAAACATCAGGGATTAATTTTTTGAAGATCATCCTCCTTACAATCACAAAAAATATACTCTGGAGTTGGGCAATATGATAACGACGGATTTGAGAAATATATTCTCATTGGGTAGTTTATAATTTCCCATTATGTCATGTGTAACCATAAGCCCAAGTTTTAAATAACGACTTATGTCAAGGGTTTGTATGGAGTTCCGAAATCACAAAACCTTGACATTGTGAGGATGGATATAACAGACATTTAAAATACTCCAATGTTAATTTAATATAACAGTCATTAATATTTAAACATTTATTTACTACTCATTAACAAAGCTACAAAAATAATATATGTACAAGTTATCTAAACTGTTTATCACCTGACATAACAAAGGATAACACAGGAACAAAGTCAAACATAAGAGAAAGCAGACTGAAACAAATATATCAGAAGTATATAAATGTCTGCCTAATCCCTCTAGATGATCTGTTAATAGAATATAAATCTTGATTAGGCTTCCAAGCTTGATAATGAGACCTTTCACTAAGGTAACATTTCCAGTAGTCCGAAATATCTGACGTTTTCCAGGCTTTTTTTTACGATTTTGATATTTGACATGCCTGGAACGTCAAATATCAAAATCGTAAAAAAAGCCTGGAAAATGTCAGATATTTCGGACTACATTTCCAGCAAAACTGCACGAGTACCAGTGACACTCTTCTGTGGCCCAATTGAACACAGCATGAATCCCCCTCTCTTAAATCTCGAGAGAAACATCCCAGATTTTTAATCACTTTTAACAACTGTGGCCCAAGGATTTTACAGGACAACCCTCGTATTTGATGAATTAAATGTCCTAAGCAGCCATTATATTCAACAGGTCCGGCACAATCTCTTGATTAGGCTATATAGCTTGATTTAGCTATATAGCTTTATTAAGCTATTCAGAATAGCTTGATTTAGCTATTTTATCACACTTTTTTCTCAAATGTGTTATTTTCCAAGTATGCACAAAAAGTCGCACCTTGGTGCAGTGATGATATTCAACCTTGAACTCTTATGAAAATAATGCATGTAAAAATCACTCATCAAATTGCCTCTCCTTAAGAGACTTTGTACTCAAAGTTCTTAAAGTTTTGGGGCTACAAAAAGCAATTGATACAGTTACTTCTTCAATAAAATTATAAAGGAAGCCAATTATGGTCAACAGGATAATTGATTGGTAATAATTCAGTACAATGAGAAGCAATCATACTTATCCATGCCTCAATGCACACAAGGTAGTGTACAGTTACCCAAACAATGGAAATTCATCTTTTGCTTAAAAGTATTCAAATGCTGCAATGTTAGAACTATCTTTGATTTGGGTTGTTGATTTGATAACCCATATTACATATATGAATAGTCAAATACTTGCGACTTTTTGTCTATTTTGTACAAATAACAAATTTTGTGAAAACCTGCATATAAATAGCTTTATCAAGCTATATTGAATAGCTTAATAAAGCTATATAGCTATTTCAAGCTATATAGCTTAATCAAGAGATTGTGCTGGACCTGTTCAAAAGGTGTAGGGTGGTTACGTTCCGATTCCGTGTTCGACCCGCGTGGTTACGACCCAAGTGGTTTCGACCTACTCTAATATATATCCTACATGTCAATACCTGAGTACAGGGGTATACACTGTGCGGTAAACAAATGGATATCCGGTATACTGTATATTGTATGGCTTCAGTGATGTGCGTGTCAAAAGGTACATGTAGTTGTTTCCGTATGTGTAGTCAACATGCAGGTTTCCTAACATTTTTTTCTACTATCGCGGAACATGAATGTTGATAAATTTGATTTAGTAATGAATTATATTTGAACAGTTTTCCATAAAAATTAATCAAATACTTCTTCAAATGTACCGTGATCACATATGCACTGTCTGAACAATGTACGTTTCTCCAAATTTAATTACATACGATAATTAACACAAATATACATGGTCAATATAAAAAAAAATGTAGAGAAAAAATAAAATGTAAAACTTTTGAAAGTGTCAATTAATTTCGTTCCGAAGCAATTAATTGTTAATTAAATGCTTCGGGGCGAAACCACTCGGGTCGAACATGGATTGTGTCGAAACCACGCGGGTCGAACAAGTCATCGGAACGTAACCACCCGCATTCGTTCAAAATAGATCCCTCAGGAAAATCATTAAAAAGTATATATATACAATATGTATGTTCTGTGTTGATACCTTTATCAGCTTTCCATCTATTTGTAAAGTTTTCATGGTAAAGTCGACACCGATAGTCGAGCCATGTTTCTCCACGTATGTGCCTGATTTGAACCTCTGGACAACACACGTCTTCCCGACCCCTGCGTCCCCTATCAACACAATCTTAAATAAATAGTCAAACGTGTCGTCTGATTCTGATCCTGGATATGGTCCCATTTGGTCAGCTGACGGCACTCTATGAGATCATCTGTGTCGTGTTTTTGTTGTGAAAAGAAAAGCGGAAGTGCACACACAGTGCTCTCGATCGGATAACCTCTCAGCTTTCCTTCATCTGCAACGGAAAAGGGCGAGGAAATCCGATGAAGAGTGTTGCATGATAGTAGTTTTCATTTTCGTATGTTTTCTTTTTATAAACGTGATTAAATAGATCTATTTGAACGTTTTATTAAATATACAAAACGTAGCATAAATAACACCGAATATTATGATAATTCGTATTTTTAAAATTCATTTTTAGTCTGCTTTGTTTCGTATTAATTTTAGACTGGCTTGCCTGTCTGATATGCGCGATATACACGAACGATAGAGACAGGCAATACCAGTCTATATTAATTTCAGCAATCCCGTTCTTTATGGGCGGATCAAAACCTTTTGAAAGGTATATACATGTACCTCGAGCAGTTAACACGTTTATTCTACGTTGTTCTTACGATTTTTCATATTGAGCATATTGTAAATTTACTTGGGAATGAAAAATGAAAAAATATATAGTGGGCTGGATGGGGTGGGGGAGAGGGTCCTATCCCAAACACCTGTGTTTTGATCAGCACAGCTCTGATATTAAAATGAATACTCTATAGGAATTTTTAGTACTCCTTTCTTTCTATGATACATTGAATTTTATGTTAACTGATAAAAAAAAATCGATTTTTTTTTTAATTTGGCAACCTCGATCCATTCCCCTCCCTGCACAACAGGAGACAGCAATTTTAGCATGTTTAGGAAAATATTTATGCTCTAATGGATTTTTCAAGAACTGGAGATGAAATACCTCCCCCATCCAATCCCCCCCCCAAGTAACAGGCCCGATTCTTTTCAATAATTAACATACATGATGTGTGTTATGAAACATACAATGCAACTTTAGATCGACGACATTATAGAGAATTAAAAACCCGTGGGTCCTAGTGCGTTTACCTCTCTCGTTTTTTTGATCAAGATTGCGTCAATAGCTCTGACATATACATATATTCTGTTGATCAGAGGTGCTCACGTAAGTGTCGCTCAGGTGAGTCTATCTGTAGCTCAGGTGAGCTACAGAAATCCAGTAAAACGGAAAATGGAGACTATACAACTTTAAGGAAATAACACAATTAACTTTAAAAATTATTTAATCAAAATTCTTTTGAACTGAAAATATACATGAGTATTTGCATATGATGCTACATACCAAAAAAAACAAAACACTGAACTAAATTCTGAAAATATCTAAACAGTTTAATATATGGCACTTTTATTCTCAACTGTAGGCTTCCTGCTTCAATACTCAGTCCCACTCAAAGAAAATAAAGACATTCGGTTCTGTGAAATCTGCAGACCTTCATAACGTTAGTTTCAACCAATGGCTGCAATGCAGACGCAGATCAAAATGATCATGCAGGTATCGTAAGCACGGTCAATTACAAATCCCACCAATGAACGAGCAGAAAACAGGCAATGTGATATGTCAATCAGGATGACCACCATGGAGATTAAAACGCCTCTTACGATGGCATCCACACAAGATCCAGATCTCAGTAATGGACTGCAATAGAAAGTCGTCTAATTATAGAAACTTGTCTAATTATAGAAGTGAAACACCACGGGAAATTAAGGTACATTTAATCATAAAAGACAAAAAATGTCAGATAAATCTGATAATCAGTTGGTATTATGAATTTTAAAGTTTACGTATCTTAGCGAAAAACAATGGCATTTTAATGTAAAATCACTGAAAAAAAAGAAGAAAAAAAAACCCTGCCGCGATCGACCACGGTTCATGCACCAAAGCAAGCTTTAACCCACTAAACTATCAACACTCCTGAATCTCAGAATACTTGCAACAATTAAATGTGAACTTTTTATTTTCACCTTAAGAATTGCAGTGCGATTTCTGAAAAAAAATTCCCACAAATCTTGTATTATCTCATGTCATCAATTTCCAGGCCAGTAGCAACGGTTTCAAAGGGGGGGGGGGGGGGGGAAGGACTTCCCAAAAAAATCTGACCAAAAAAACCTGACCAAAAGGGGGGGGGCAACTTCCCAAAATTATCTGACAAGCAAAAAAAAAAAAGAAAAAAAAAAAAAAAAACTACATGCAATTTACTGTCCAAATCCTGAAATTTGCCTGTGCTCGGCCTTTCAACACCAAAAAGGGGGGTGGCAACCAGCATCTAAAGGAAAATTTACTATAGCAAAATCTATACTCAGAAAAAAGTGTGGGGGGGGGGGACTGCCCTCCACCCGCGTTCTACAGGCCTGATTTCAGCGTCAATCTTCTAGGAGAAAATAAGTACCCTAATTAAGGCAAAGGTAACCTATCATATAGAATTCTTTTGTAGTCCGTGTAAGCATATATGATTTCTGTAATCTCTACTTTCACACATGTGCAACAATAGATATATAAAAATCAAATTTTATTTTTAAAACTTTGCATATATTTTCTCCCAATTTATGAGTTTGGTCGTTTGCCCGATCATGACAAGAAGCATATCGTCGACAGGAGATACTTACTCCTCCCTGGCACCTGATCCCATGCACCTCTGATGTTTTTTAGAGGCCCGCGTTGCTCTGCTCGCGATTTGTATTGTTTCAAAGGACTTTTGAGCTTGAATACTGTTCGTCATCTCTATATTTCATTTCAAATTTTGAAATCACTAAAAAAAATAAATGAAATTTAGAAGGGGAAAAGAAGTAAATTCCTAAAACATTCAAACTTTCTCATGTGAAGCTCTTACCCCAGCGCAAAATTGATGAGGAAGCACAGCAGACCGTTGGTCAGAACGACGAGAGTCATCGCCTTGCTCGCTCCTACGGCTGCTTGTATCTCCGGCTCTGTCCTACCGGGGTAGGCGGTCCTCATCCAGGCACTGCCGAAAACCCTGGGGTGGTACCAAAGCGCCCCGAGGATCTCAGAGCAAACCATTCCCACTATCGCTCCGTAAACCATGGTCTTCCGAAAAATAAGGCACTGAAATTCAAACTATAAATAGCGAAAGGCTGTTTAAAGATACGTCAAATGAAAAAAAAATGAAAAAAGAACTACACACAGAGATGTATTTGGCATCAAAACTGTTTGATATACATTGTATCTATAGGAACACTATGTAGAATTTATTATGTGAAACTATACTTTGTTTGAAAAAAACTTGGCTAAATTGGAGGAGTTTCGTGTATATTAGGCCGGAGGAAGGGCCCGGGCCATTTAAAAAAATAATAGGACTTTTCATTTTTGACCGAGATTCTCTTTAAAGTATAAGAATTTCAAAGGATTTTATCGGATTTCTGGGAAAAATTCGAATCTATGAGAAAGAGTCACACACTCTGTATTTTGTACTTCCCTTCCCTCCCAGAATTAATAAACTTTTTTCCCTTTACTTTCAAAGGCTATATAAACTTATAAATAAAGTACGTACTTTAACATTCTACACCATGTATAAACGTCCCGTTGTGCTACCCCGGTGATACTTGTGCTCTGATAAATATGTGCGTGGCCTATTGACTAAATGTTATAAACTGCATGCTTGACCGAGATATTGCTTCCAAGGAATACTTAGTATGTAGAAAGTTTGATGAACCTAGCTATCTTAGCTGAGGCTCCTGCCTCCTTAAAATGCGTAAAAATTAACATGCTTTTGTAACATTAAGCATTATTAATAACAATATTAAGATGTGCATAAGGAATGCATGCAGGAAATACACTCGATTCGTTTAGAACCAGTGACATACTTTATATAATTTTCGCGCGCTTTTATCTGGTCTGTTTATAGCCCAACACCGATGTTCTAAAACTTATACTTGACTGAAAATTACAATTAGACCCGAAGAAAAGTCATCATTTTTATGACCTATTCCTTGTGTAGATAATATATTAGGAAGACTTAATTGTTACCTGTTAACGGCGAGTATCTGATGGCGTGACAGACTTCTGTGCACACCCTCCAATTTGTACACTATGTAAACATTGACGCGGAGGGAAATTCCTCTCTAGCCCACGGCTGTTAGGAGGCGGATCATAAGTAGATTAGGGGCGGAACAGAAACAGACATACGGACCGTTTGATTGATACGTAAAAAAGTATAAATTGCAATAATTAAAGATTTATTCATAATCCATTTTTTTTTGACAATAATAACTTAAAACGCAATGAACTTCGTATGAAGTCGGCCTCTCTAACGACTTGTTCGAATGCTGTTTTTGCATTTACATTGAAACAGGTAGATGAGTTCTCATCATGTAACATCCCTTCGTTAGTTTAAAACACAAAAAAATACACAAAAAAGACTTTCTTAATTTCTTTCAACTAACTTCTCTAATAAAACTGGATCTGTAACTTTCATATATAGAATGTGGTGAAAATAGACCAGAAGTTTGCCTTAAGCTGCTAAAAATTGATAATTATCAAAATACCATGACACTGTGAGAGTTGATCCTGTACGATATAGGATTTATAACTAAACATTGATATGATAATACCAATGTACTTTTACAATTAATTCCTTCCCCAGTGAGCCTTTTTGTGACTACAGTAACTTGCAGAGCCAGAGACCCTGGGTCATACACATGTACCAGGAGTTGGTGTACATTTTACTGAAATTATCAATAAATTCACAGGTTCCCAAAGTCCTGTGATCTTACAAGATCTTTACACAAGACATAAAAAATTTATACATTTATTATTTATGTATTTAAATTGTCAAAAAGCAGGTTTGGCACACATACATTAATAAATTAATACCTCACACATGATTATTTAGTTGAATTAGAATAAACACTGACAACACAAAATCTGTCAACTTCTTAAAACTATAAATACATGTATGACAAATGAATATTGCATATTTAACAGTTTGAAAACCATGAACAATGTTATGGTCCCTGCATATTCTTTTTTCAGGGTTTACAAATATTTCTCATATTATAGGATTCAACTAAATAAATACACTAATAAATGGTCTGTTATTGGAAAATGTGAAACATACACTGTAAAACTTCTGAAATTTTGCAATGGGTTTATCTTAATTTGTCTAAAGAAATATCCATGGCAAATATTTTAATTTTACATGTACATAATAGACAATGAATTTCCATTGTTTTAGAACAGGTAGACTTATGTATGCTTATATAAGGAGGAATGCTACACCAACATTTTATTTAATAGATCTTTAAGACATCTTTTTCAGCAAGGAACGATTGATATTAGCTCTTAATTATTTTATAGGATTTTTTTTTTCCATTTTTCCAGAGAAAAAATTGGGGGTTTTTCTGCAAAAAAGATGCTTTAGAGTTTAAATTTTTTTATTTATAAATAAGAGTCAGATAGCATACGGAAAATATTATTTGTCAATACTTTTAAACCTATGGTTAAAATCATCAAGAAACAAGTTACCTATAGAAAAGAAATATCTGGGAATTGTATTTTAAAAAGAAATTGAAACGAAATTGCGGAATTTCAGTAAAATAGCTACTTTTCTAATTTGGACCAATCCTGATCAAAATTAAACCAATCCCAACCAGAATTATAGAAATTGAAAATATATTTAACAATTAATTTCACAAAATACTAGGTTCCCTGGGTGTAACATTGTTTACAAAATAATGGAATTTATCACTCATATGGATTTCTCAGAAGAAATTAACTGCTAGAGATGTGCAATAATTTAGTAATCACTAATTTAGCACCAATATTGATCGGGATCAGTTAAACTTCAATAGGGATTGGTTCAAATTTGAAAAAATTAGCAATTTTCCAAAGTTTCACATTTTCTCTTCAATTTCTTTTTAAAATATGATTGAATATTACATGTATACTTTTCTTATCTGTGACTTCTTTCTTGAAGATTTTATCCATAGATTTAAAAAAACATTAACAAATACTGTTTTATTTTCATAAATAATTTTTTATTGCATTTAAAACAATTTTGACATTTTCTATGGAAAAATAGAAAAAAAAATCATATTATAAAATAACTAAGAGCTAATATCAATCTTCCTATGATGAAACCATATTTCAATAGATGCATTAAATAAAATTCTGGTGTAGCATTCCTCCTTAACAAAAACACATAAAAGATACAAATACAAAAATATTTTCTACCATCTAGCTACCTTGAGATAAGACTGAAATTTACAGAAACTGAACTAAACCTCTCTATACTGTTTATTAAAATAGACTTTTTCTGACCTAGATAGAAAATCAACATTTTTGGACATGACTACAGGTTGTGAATTTTGTACAATGAATATAAATTGTAGATGAAAGTAAACAAAAAGAAAGAGTCTCTTTAAATCAATATAAGTAAGTTCATGTAAACTGTAGAATATATCTATTTGTGTATAATATCATCATTCTACAAATATTTCAAACAAAAACTTCTGCAATCTTAACAGTAAAACAAACAAAAATAAACAAGGGATCAGCTAAATATATATATAAAGTGACTCAATGGAAAAAAAAAAACAAACCCGTAGATAAATATCCATATATAAATAGTTCTAAATGTATCACACATGTAATATGCTATATACAATTTATATTTAGTTACCTAAGTACATGTATCTGAAATTCAAAATTAAAATCAAAGTTGATTACACACTGTCAAAGGGTATCCATGTTACTAGTTTTGTAAAACAGTGAACATGGTGTTGACCAATATTAAAAACAAAATATTCAAAAATTACTTATATATAAGTATCACAATCATAAATTCGCAATACTTATTCATGCATGTACAACAGTAATGTATATTTAATGAAGGCAGTTAGTAAAATAATAATATTTCATTTAAAAAGATTGTGAAATACAGAATGAAATCTGCAATACAACATTAGCACCATGCCAAGCTTTCCTAATGAGAATCAATGTATGAATGAACACATTAGATTTTATTGCATATTGAAACTTTTCAAAATTGAATAAAATTTGATGCATGGCTTTAAAATGAGGAATCATTTAACAATGCCATATAGAACTGATTGATCAAATATGTGACAAGAGTCCTTTCAAGTTCATTGAGATCTTGTTCACACGACTGGAATCTTTAAAACTTAGGTATGAAAAAAATCAACCCTTCTTCCTGAGAAAGACTTTCAATATTCAATCACTAGCTTTCAATCTTTATTATAAAACAAGTAATTTCTTAATTGATAATTGTTAATTACATCAAAAATTTTAAAAATATATATCATTCGCAATAAATAAATAATACTGTTCTGATGAGAGATGTTCTAAATTTGGACAAAAACAATGAATAAATGTTTATTTATGGAGATTGTTGAATATTTGACATTACATGTAGATTGTTATTCTGTAGATCTTTGTATAGGTGATAAATGTAACATGTCATAAAGTCATTGCTTAAAATGGGTGTTGTTCTTAACATACACATATCATTAAATGTAATACTGCTTTGATGGCGGGTGATCTATATTTGGACGGGAAGGGTGTTCTATATTTGGACGGGGAGGGAGAGGGGGTGGTCCTCGGAATGGCATTCCCAGGTCATGTGGTCTCTCGCTGACTTCAAAGGTCAGTCTGTAGGTGGGAGGCTGTTCCCTGATTGGAGCCAGTGGGTTGTAGGGTTCTCCTTGTGAAAACTGTCTTAAGTGGAAGCCTGGAGTTATTCCCCTTTGAGGAGAATAGGAAGTCCCAGGAAGCTCTGTATATCTGATGGTGGAAATTGAATCTTTTTTAAAATAAATTTTACACACATTTTCTTACATGTGGAGTTATTCCCCTTTGAGGAGAATAGGAAGTCCCAGGAAGCTCTGTATATCTGATGGTGGAAATTGAATCTTTTTTAAAATAAATTTTACACACATTTTCTTACATGTTTTAGTTTGGCCCTATTTGTTTTCATCATTAATAGTCAAATTTAAAACAGGGTTAGTTTTACAATGATGGGCACATACATGCAATTATAAAGTAGCAAATTGGTTTTGGAAAAATTTGAATCAGAGCAAACTAAAATAAATTCTTCCTAGTCCTGAGTGAAAATAAGGTCAGTTCTTATAGAAGTACAAAGCTACCCACATAGTGGTGCCTAGCAGATGAGTATATGTAGACTAACCTGGTCTGGGATGACAGTTCATTATGGATAATTGGATATAGAAAGGTACAAAACTATGTTGTATGTCTAGTGGAAAAAGGATACTGAGACCAGGCAAATACAGCTGAACTTCGGTATCTCAAACACCAATATCTCAAATACCATGGATATGTCGAAGTGATTTTGAAGTCCCACCCACTTATTCTTTAAGTATTTTACTACTGATATCTTGAATCCTCTGATATCTCGAAGTTTTTTCTCGGTCCCATTCAGTTCGAGATAACGAGGTTTGACTAAGTACATTGTCCAAGGATACGAAACACAACACAAAGGGATCAAGATTATATTTCATAAAAAACTCTTATTTTCCAGGCTTACCTAGAAGTCAATTGTATCTAAACTGTGGTTTGGACAGAAAATGTATGTTGAATTTCACTATTACCCAGTGTGTGTCAAAAAGACTAGCCAGATTCCCAAATACTAGTAAAAATTTGGTCAGGTTATTAAAATGTAAGTTGACACTAGCCCTATCAGACTAGTAGCATTTTCAGTGACATATATCAATTTTTTATATCTGTTTTGTTAAAATACATAAAAAAACCCATAAAATATTTAACAAGGATATGACAAATTATCATTAAAGTTGTTTTTAAATGGCTAAAGTAAGGAAATGTTTAAAAAAGTATTTGATACAGGGACTGTCAATGACGTTTAGAAACAGAGAAACAGTTTACATTAAAATACGTGTGAAATAAAACTGAGTCATTTTATTTTCCAAACATTGGAGGGTAAGGGGCTAGTCAAAGTGATTTGGACTAGTAATGTTTTGCAATTACCAGCCTGACTGGGCTAGTGCTAAAAAAAGTTTTTGATGCTCACTGATTACCTGGCATTGGTTTGTGCATCCCACCCCTGAGGTCTGTATACTGGGGGCTGGTATTTAGGGGGAGATCTGGTTGCCATTGGAAACCAATTTTTGCCATCTGCCCTGTCACTGTTTGAAGATTGGGATGTTCCTGGGCCTTTTCTTCCTGTAGTGTACATAAAGCTACAATGTATTACTTCCCCAAACACCTGGTATATCATTTAGTCACCTCTTTGAAGTTAACTAGCGGTAGTATACAACTTAATTATCTTAAAAAAAAATCAGTGAAAAATTGCTGATCAATATGAAGAAAATCTACATATTAAATAGGTGAGTAAAATGTCTCATAAAACTCTGATCTCTTTTGAAGACCTTTGTACACATAACATGAGAATACATGTACTGTAGTCATGCAAGGATTTTACTAAATGATTTGTAGCATTGCAAATCCTTTCCACTTTATTTGAGAATTTCTCTGGACCCTGATTACCTGACCCAGAAGACTTGAAGCTGTTGCTATGGGAGACTGGAGTTGCGGGCCTTTGATGGCTCTCCTGTGGAGCTTCTCTCTTCCAGCAGCAATAAACAAGCCAGAAAATCACGAACAGGAAGCAGATTGTGCTAACCAGGGACCCCGCAATAATTATCGTGTCTCTGTCTCGCTTCTCCTTACGTAGATAGTGATCTAGATAGGCATCACCTGGCACTGATAAAGAGAAAAATACCACATTCTAAAGTTTTCAAATTTTTGCAACATCTAAACCTACTCATTTTTGAACATTTTTGTCAAAAAACTTCATAATCCAGCATTCTAGATGGAGGGTGGGGGTGAAAGGGGGTGGGAGTTTAACAATAGTACTTGAATACCTATGCTTACTGGCTGATGAGAGTAGGGTTTAATCTTCTGAATGTAATCATATCTGTCTCCACTATTAGCTTTTACAGATAGTGGGGTGGAATGGGATGCAGGTTTACATTAGCTTTTACAGATAGTAGAGTGGGGTACAGGTTTACATTAGCTTTCACAGATAGTGGGATGGACTGGGGTGCAGGTTTACATTAGCTTTTACAGATGGTGGGATGGAGTGGGGTGCAGGTTTACATTAGCTTTTACAGATAGTGGGGTGGAGTAAGGGTACAGGTTTACATTAGCTTTTACAGATAGTGGGGTGGAGTGGGGTACAGGTTTACATTAGCTTTCACAGATAGTGGGGTGGAGTGGGGTTAGGTTTACATTAGCTTTTACAGATAGTGGGGTGGAGTGGGTTGCAGGTTCACATTAGCTTTTACAGATAGTGAAGTGGAGTGAGGTGCAGGTTTACATTAGCTTTTACAGATGGTGGGATGGAGTGGGGTGCAACTTTACATTAGCTTTTACAGATGGTGGGATGGAGTGGGGTGCAGGTTTACATTAGCTTTTACAGATGGTGGGATGGAGTGGGGTGCAGGTTTACATTAGCTTTTACAGATAGTGGGGTGGAGTAAGGGACTAGGGTACAGGTTTACATTAGCTTTTACAGATGGTGGGGTGGAGTAAGGGTACAGGTTTACAATTAGCTTTTACAGATGGTGGGATGGAGTGGGGTACAGGTTTAGATTAGTTTGGGTATTTAGTAATTGATCTGGTTGGCTGATGAAAGCAAGGTTTGATCTCCAGAGTGAGGTCATACCCCTGTCCAGTACGTCTATCATAAGTCTCCACCTCCCGGAATTCTAGTTAGTTTAGGGTGAGGGAGGATTACATTTGTACTTAATACCTGTGCTGGCTGGCTGCTGACAGTAAGGTTTGATCTCCAGCGTGAGGTCATACCCCTGTCCACCACGTCTATCGTAAATCTCTAACTCCCGGAATTCTAGTTTAGTTGGGGGTGAGGGGGGATTACATTTGTACTTAATACCTGTGCTGGCTGGCTGCTGACAGTAAGGTTTGATCTCCAGCGTGAGGTCATACCCGCCCCCACTACGTCTGTCATAAGCCTCTATCTACCAGAATTCTAATTAGATTGGGGGGGGGGATTTAATACCTGTGCTGGCTGGCTGCTGACAGTATAGTTTCATCTCCAGTGTGAGGTCATACCCGTCCCCACTATGTCTGTCATAAGCCTCTATCTACCAGAATTCTAGTTAGATTGTGGGGGGGGGGGGGGAAGGGATTTAATACCTGTGCTGGCTGGCTGCTGACAGTAAGGTTTGATCTCTAGAGTGAGATCATACCCGTCCCCACTACGTCTGTCATATGACTCCATCTCCTGGAATTCTACTGTCATCTCAGTGTAGCTCGAGCACCACAGAGAAGGGGGAGAACTCTTACAAGTAAAACTCTGCAAAAACAAGAGGCCCATGGGCCACATCACTCACCTGAGCACATTGGCAAGGCAAAAGCACAAATCAGTTCAGTATTGAAAAGATTAGGGGGGGGGGGGGGAGGGGGGCTTGGGCTTGAATTTTAAACTACCTGATGATGCTTCCATGTCAGTATAACAAATGGCTTTGTAATGACTTTGTTGTACTTGAGAAGAACTTGAAAGTTTTCCCATATATTCCTTTGTAAAAATTTGATCCCCCACTGTGGCTCCTCCCTATCCCAGAGGTCATCATTTTAACAAACTTGAATCTACACTACCTGAGGATGCTTCCATATCAATATGACTAAACACAGCTTTGCAGTTCTTCAGAAGAAATATTTTTTCTATATGTTCTTATGTAAAATTTTCAATCCCCCATTGGGCCCCACCCTACCCCCAAGGGTCATCATTTGAACAAACTTGAATCTACACTATCTAAGGATGCTTCCATATCAAAATGACTAAACATGATTTTCAGTTCTTGAGAAGAAGATAATTTCCCATATGTTCCTATGTAAAATTTTCGATCCCCCATTGTGGCCCATCCCTATCCCCAGGGGTCATCATTTAAAAAACTTGAATCTACACTACCTGAGGATGCTTCCAAATCAGAATGACTAATCATGGCTTTGCTGTTCTTCATCAGAATATATTTTCCTATATATTTCTATTTAAGACTTTGATCCTCCATTGTGGCCCCACCCTACCCCAGGGGGTCATGAATTGAACAAACTTGAATTTACACTACCTGAGGATACTTCCACATAAATATGATTAATCAGGGCTTTGCCGTTCCTGAGAAGATTTTTAAAATATTTCCTATATATTTCTATGTAAAACTTTGATACTCCATTGTGGCCCCGCCCGGGTCATGATTTGAATAAATTTGAATCTACACTACCTGAGGATGCTTCCATATAAATATGACCAATCAGGGCTTTGCTGTTCTTGAGAAGAAGATTTTTAAAGATTTTTCCTATATATTCCTATGTAAAACTTTGATCCTCCATTGTGGCCCCGCTCTACCCCCAGGGGTCATGATTTGAACAAACTTGAATCTACACTACCTGATGATGCTTCCATATAAATATGACCAATCAGGGCTTTGCTGTTCTTGAGAAGAAGATTTTTAAAGATTTTTCCTATATATTTCTATGTAAAATTTGATCCTCCATTGTGGCCCCGCCCTACCCCCAGGGGTCATGATTTGAATAAATTTGAATCTACACTACCTGAGGATGCTTCCACTTGAGTTTCATCTTCCCTGGTTCTGTGGTTCTTGAGAAGAAGATTTTTAAAAGATGCCATTAATTTTTCACTAATTCTTTATGATCTCCCCTTGAAAGAGGGCATGGCCCTTCATTTGAACCAACTTGAATCCCCTTCACCCAAGGATACTTTGTGGCAAGTTTGGTTGAAATTGGCCCAGTGGTTCTTGAGAAGAAGTCGAAAATGTGAAAAGTTTACAGACGGACGGACAGACAGACGGACTACAGACAAAATGTGATCAGAAAAGCTCACTTGAGCCTTCAGCTCAGGTGAGCTACAATAATGTAAAAAAAGTGGATCAAATATGAGAATTCAGAAAATGACAGCTGTCTTTAGCAAATTTCTATAAAACTGTTTAAAAATTCAGTGCATGACATCCTGCCTGTAATATTCATATGCTTACTACCACTTTTAGAAAACTTAAAATACTTTGTGTATCAAACTGAAGATATCTACTGCAATTTACTCTTTAGAACAATAGTCCAGTGCAGTTGCAGTTCAGTAAGAAAATTAATCCCACTGAAAGAGATAATAGTATGCATTTATGTCTAAACCGAGTATGTGAAATTTAATGTCTAGAATTGATATATGGAATATTAAATCTTCATCTAACTTTTAAGAAGAAAAGGATTATGAGTTCAGGAGCAGAACACGGCTTTCCCACGGTTTCAAAAAGATTAGAAACATGCGGTAATTTTACAAAAAATAAAAGATACCTAGTGGAAGCATATTTGAAACACCTGCTTTCCACACACAAAAGGAAAATACATGAAATAATTTGTAAAAAAAAAATTAAAACATGTGTTTACAGATTAAAAAAAAAAAAGAATACTTTAAAAACATGCATTTAAACAAACTGATTTTTTTTTCTTGGTAGCAAATTTTTCTAGGGAAATTGCAGGAGCAGAAGTGCCTGCATTTATACTCATCCACAAGTGAGAATTAGTGAGATAAAAGTAATAAATGCATAAGATTTGACTAAGTGAACGTAAAGGAAACTTAAAGATGGTTTAAAAATGGTTTAAAGACTGTTTAAAGGATGCATAAAGACGTCTTTAATAATAATTATAACACTCTATATAACATTCTGTAACAAACCCTAGGATTACGGTCATCAATTCCATCATAATACGTGATTCTGAAATCACAATTTCTCATGGAGGCATTGACAATTCTGACACAGAGTGAGAAGCACTGATGATCAGGTGACGTCCACCCAGAGTCCGACTCGATGAAGGTCATGTTACAGTGCCTGCCCGGTAGATGGCCCTTGGCCCGGATCAAGTAGTGACTCTCGGCGTGGTAATAGTGGGGTCTCCGACAACTTCTTCTGTGAGTAAAAACTGAAAGAAAAAAACAAGAAAATATTTTTAGTTTAAATGAATAAATAAATAAAATATAGGGCACCATTTTCATAAAAAGGCAACTTTTCTCATTTTGTAACAAAACTACAACCATTTTCAGTGTCCATATATACTATTAAAGTGTCCATATACAAGTAAAGTGACCTAATTTTGCTGAACAGTGATTAAGTTATTGTTTATGCTTTACTGCCATTCTGCAATTGTTGATTAACACACCCGATTTAATTGGAAATCATACTAATTACTTAATAAGATAAAAGTTCATGTTTATAATGCATTATTTAGAATCATGTCAGATTTTTGACAATGTATAAAAATGATGTAACGCATGCTAAAAAAAAGTATGAAAAATATCAAGTAAGTTGAAAACAGACTATTTTTGAAGAGCATTATTCTACAGTTCCCATAAAAATATAACTTTTTGGTTAAAAAAAATCAATGAACACTTCACTGCTATTTAATAATTACTTTTGGAAGATGAGTTCAAAAGTTCAAAAGCACTTGCTAAATTTATTTTCTATAGTGACAAGAAGTTGAATTTGAACCATTCCCATTCCATTTGAACTTGATACAAATTGAGCTCTCTGGCAACAATGATAATATCCTATCTGACTGCTATCATAACTGTACTTGCTATTCTGCTAAAATAAGGTGTCTGACTGCTACAATAACTATATAAGTACTTACTAATCTGCTAAAATAACCTGTTTGACTGCTACAATTACGATACTTACTAATCTGCTGTGTTTGAGCAAAACAGTCTGATGAGAAGAGGGCCAAAACCATCAGCTGGGCCACAATCATTCTTCAACACTTGGCAGCAACTCAAACTTCTTCTACAAGCCCTACACACATAATCCTGTTCACCGTTCACTAAAAAATATATATTAAATTATATTATTATATATCATGTATATATGCATTATTTATTCAAATTCAGACTATACAATAAAAGTCAAAAAATTATGGACTCTTTCAATGGCATACAGCTGTATGGTTCATTATTCACCAGAAAAATATCAATATTGACCTCGTCTTTACCTTGGTCAATATTGAGTAGTTTTCTGGTGAATAATAAACCATATTCTCCACCAAGAGAGTCCAAAATTGTATAATATGAAATTATTTTTTGGTCAATATGGATAGAGTGAAGAAAAAGTTTAAATTTTTACTGGCTCATGGCAGGCTTTCCTTCTTTAAAACTGAATTAAATAGAATGTCCCGTTGTTGAAATAACATGGTTCTACAGACCCAGTTAATGATAGAATTGGTTCAATCTATGTGTTAGAAATGTACCATACTAAACAAAGTATAAAATTTTCATCAAAGTCGATACATATGAATAATTAAGAGAGAGAGAGAGCTCTGAAAGTCGTTAAGTTGGATAAATTTGAAGCGAGGAAAAGGCATTGATAAAATGTGACAAGTTTTTCCTGTACATGCATTAAATTTTGGGGTGGAAGGCACGTGTAATCTCAGAAAGGTTGGACAATATGATTTTAAAATTTGGTGGTTAATTTTTTTTTTGCAGTTTTATTTATAATATTTATAATTGTGCTAGATTTGACCTGCTCCATTTTTGTGACATTGCGTCTACTGTAAATCATGATTTTTTATTCACGAAAACTTTATTTTTTTTCTGAAATTATGTGAGACCACCTGCTTGCAAAATTTTTATCTCATCTGCGGCCTATATTTATATCATTTAAGATTTTGAAAATAAAGAATCAAAATTCTTGAATTATATCTTGTTTATAAATACTAAATACTGCCCAGAGACACAGTTTAATTTAGTTAAAATAATCTAACTGTGTCTCGGGACAGGCCCTAAACCAGGTCCGTAGGACATTTATAATTTTAACGATAGAACATTCCATTTAAGGGGGCCGACTGGGGTTTTCATTGCGCAATACTTTGCGCAGCACAGTAAAATAAAGCGTATTTACTCTTTTAAAGCAACTAGTTTTATATATTTTATAAAAATTAACAAATTTAGGAAATCAAAGGTTAAAAAATCTAATTACGTTTTTAAATAACTGATTTTTAAATGATTTTTCAAATGATGGGTAGTTAGACGTCGTAAATTGTATTTTTGACGTTATGAATAAACGAAGTTCTTTAAACGGGGTCATTAATTATGTCATAAAATAAAAAGTATAAAATAGATGCTCTTGAAATTTTAAACATAGAAAATTGAGAACCTCACAATCATTTCTATTATTTTTAACATAAATATGCGGTATCTGTCATGTTTTGTTGTACTCCATAAAAACAGGAAAATATCATGAGTTTTGACATTTTGAGACGCCCCCTCTGGAAACCAGACGGTAGAATTTTGTGTTTCTTGCATAAAATGTACAATATAGTATTACCCATTAAATAATTAATATAATTTGAGCAAAAAGTCTATAGTAGCATTTGTACAATTTGCTCCGAAGTGCAAAAAATTGTATTTTCCTATATAAGCCTAGTATAGGAAATGTACCTGAATTTTGAGATGGTCCCAAAAAATAACCAGACGGTAGATTTTCACTGAACTTGGCATATATACTGAAGTCAATGTAAGGTACATATGGTATAAAATTCAAGAGTTTCTCTATAGTAGTTTTCACACAATAAAACCCCAGTCGGCTCCCTCAAGTTTAATTATTCTAACTTAATATTGATATTCACTAAACATTCTAAATCAAACTAAATTTTATAAAACAAAATACATTGTATTTTGCAATGTTATTGAAGCATGTACATTAAGCAAACAGGTGTCTAACTTTCATGGTAATGTGCACTTAATTATTCTAGAGGTAACGTTACACTTTTATGAAACTGAAAGCGATTTTTTTTCCCCTTCTTATTCACTTTAACTTATTACCAAATAATTCATTTGATGGCAAGGATCAAGCTTACTTACAACAAAGCAAGACAAAATCTGGCATTATTCTGTTTTTTCATTCACGATCACTGCCCAAACATCTCAACAGGTTAGGTACAATGTATGGCGCATACAATGACTCACAAAAAACACAGACAGCCTGCTGAGCATCGTTTTGGCTGCCGCTATGAGCAGTGATGAGATACTTTTGAAAAGTAAACCTGAATGGTTCTTGATGCATCAATTTCAAGAATGAAACTTTTACCTTAATAATAACATCACAGTTTTCTAACTTTAAGTTTCAAAGTGCCAAAAGTTATTTTTTGATCACCATGATCAACTTTCTCCATTTCTTCACCTACTTCCTGCATCATCAACAGATCGCCGCGCCCTCTATGTTTTCAAAGAGAGTTATCGTTCTTTCTGCTATAGGCCATTCCAAATTTTTCTACGTTTAGCGTCTGTGTGCGCCTTGGTTTTTAACACCCCATATCAGAAAAAAACAAACAAAATCAGGAGTCTTGAAATTGATTATTCTAGTCACAATCTTAAATAAATTCTGTCAATATCTCAAAGTATTTGCCTACAATATGTCATATTAGGTATATCTTAAGCATTTAAAACATTGATTTTGCTAAAGAATAGATCTTTCTATACATAAAAAATAGATTAATGAAATCAAATGCTTTGAATTACGTCTTTATAAAGACTATAAAGTCTGTGTTTTATTATTATTATTATTATTTTATTATTATTATTATTATTATTATTATTATTATTATTATTATTATTATTATTATTATTATTATTATTATTATTATTATTATTATTATTATTATTTTGGGCTTGTTTGTTTTTAGCGAATAGGTAGGTAGGTTTTTGAAAGATGGGTGGACGCTAAACAGACTGAGAAAAAAACTTGAAATGGCTTACTACTTTACGTGAATATATTTACTTCTCTAAAAGTATTCAATTTCTTCTTTATTTATTCTCCTTTAAAATCACAATGGGATCGGGAGAGGAGGGGGTTTAACACTGTTCAATTTTTTTTAAGAATAAAAGAATACATGTGTGCGGAACAAAGAATTTTTTTCGGGGGGAGGGGGGGGGGGACATATCCATTCCAAAAAAGTTTGAAAATCCGACCCAAGAAATTTTTCAAGTCATTAAAAAAAAATAATCAATTACAAACCTAAGCACCCTATTTCGTAAGGGGTAGGATGGGTGGGGTGGGGTGGGTACGTGTTATAGGACAAGTCGCTTTCCCTTTTTTGCGATGACTCTCCTTATCTCCTTATCATTTTCCTCGGGGTCCATATTTTTTCGGGGAGAGGGGGGGTGTTAAGATATTTGGGGGGGGGGGCGTACTTAAATTACTATATAAATTTAATAACTGTAAAAATCCCAGGAGAAGATTTCGGATCCCCCTCCCCGCGACCAACCCTAGATCCGCGCGTGGAAAATCTTCATAAAACAGCACGATGAATACACAAACTACACCAACCTGCATGAATGTTTAACAATGCAATGCATGTTTAACAATGCAATGCATATTTAACAATGCAATGAATGTTTAACAATGCAATGCATGTTTAACAATGCAGTGCATGTTTAACAATGCAATGAATGTTTAACAATGCAATGCATGTTTAACAATGCAATCATCCAGTTTTTTTCTTATGTTGGTTTTTTTATGTTGGTTCAGGTTTGTTCAAATTGAAGTCCCTGGGATACGGTTGGTCAAAGACACGAAATCGATGCTCAGTTTAGTTGAAAATACATATGTTAAAGGGAATTTTTTTTTTTTTTTTACAAAATTTCAAGCCATGCACGCAGTAGTGCACATGAAAGGGAAACAAATCGTTAATTAATATTGCCACATTCCCCATGTTTTGTCAAACCCAAGAACTAAACTGTTTGTTTGAGGCCGTTAGGTCGCAGGCAAAGTTTGGTTCGAGTGGTCGACATTTTGCCCGAGAACACAGTCAATGATTTTTTTTCAATTCCTTTTATTTATTTTTTTTTTATTTATTTATATATATATATATTTTTTTGGACATAATTTATCTTTTGTTGCCTTCCATCATGTAAATTTCCTTTACCTGCACTAAAACTCGGCCAGTGATGAATCCTGTCACTGTCGAACACCAACGAATGCAAATAAGGTTTAGCTGATCCCGCACACAGTGTGACGTAAGCGGTCCAATATCTCAATCATTGACAGGTCCAATATCTCACTCTGCGGTCAAATAGCGATTTTTTATGACCGCTCAGTAAAACATTGAAAATTTTAGACTTATATTAGTATAGATTTATATAAGAACCATTTTTTTAAACGTATAACAATATATAATTTCCCTAGGAATTTATCAGTGAAGTACTGCAAAACTTTAACAAGTTTCCTCACAAAAAATTGAGGTACCTTACCAGGCATTTGTGAAAGATACCAGAGGGTGGTGTTTCCTATATAATCCTATTTGAAATCACTTTAAACTGTCAACATCACAATTTTACCCACGTTTTGTCTTCAATTTAAAGTTCATCATTATAATTTTAAAAGCATATTATATATGGAAAATCATCAGATCTCATACATGTATGTATACATTGTACTAGTATTTTCAGAAAAAAATTAAAGCACCAAATATGTATTTTCAAAATGAAATAATCAAATTTTAGAAGAAAAAAAAACTACAGGTATCCAGGCATTCGAAAAACATGACAATTTTTTATGCAGCATTTTAGTTTTTTATTCACTTGAATTGCACTGCATTGTATTTAGAGAGGGGGGGAGGGGTTGGTGTGGCCGTGGGTCCCTATCCTGACCCCAAACTGGTAAAATTGATTGTTTGACATTGATAGTAAAGGAAACTATATCCTGCATATTTCTTCAGCATTTATTTAAAATTACACGCTGACAACATCGTTACTTAATGCAGTATTGATACTTTAAATATGTTAGGCACGGATCTAAGAGAATTTAGCAGTGGTGGCAATCAGACGGAGTCAAAATGAAAAATAAAAATAACAGCATAAAAATTAGGTATATCTGCTATTCCTTATCAGATATTCCTTGAAAAATGTAAACTAGATGTTATTCATTACTCTTTGACACATCTTTCTTTTTTTCTTATTTTTTCAGGATGACAAGGATCCCATATTGTTTCGGACTTGAGAGATTGTACAACACAACTTAACCGGTATGCTGAGCAAAATGTTATGCATTATATTTGAAATAAATTTAGAAGACTGATGGAAAGGATAATATCTATTTCTTTGTTTCATTTATTACTTTTGAAAATTTGTCCTAATAATCTCATTTTGAAATTGTATTTAAAAAAATGAGAACAAATTGAGTTAGTTATTCCACTCTTTGGAGACAGAGTTATGACGGGAGGTGGAAGGGGTGTTCTGGAATCATCATCTGCTTGTAGACATAACATCCTGATCCAGACATAGGGCTCACGGCGAGTGTGACGGGTCAACAGGGGATGCTTACTCCTCCTAGACACTGATCCCACCTCTGGAATTTCGGGGGTCCGTGTTTTATGTCTGTTCACAGATTAGTAATTTGTTTATAGATTTTTTGAGATCGATCACTGTTCGTTATCTTCTCCTTTTTTGTCTTGTCCAGAGATAAAATCTAAATCTATTCAATAACTTTTTTTCAAACTTTATTGAAAGAATATACTCTTTGTACTTGGCTTCTGTTTGTTTTCAAATTGATTTGTCAAAATAATAAGGAAACTTTCTTTTTTAAAGGTTTCATTGTACAGAACTTCTGTGAGAGTATCGGATTTTTTAGATGGAGAAATATTGAAAGCTTATACTTGTAAGCCAGTTCGATTGTTATTGGGCATATGTTATGACTGTTATTTAGAGTAATTTGGACAAGGACAAGGTCCTGATTAGACCTTTATGACATTAATGTAGAGAAACATTAGAGTATCATACAAAGCTTGTTTGTAATCTGAGGATAGGAGGCAACCTTACAGCATGGTTATTTTAAAAAAGAAATGGTCATTGATTTTGAAGCATGAAATTCTTGTTTATACTTAATTTAAAAATAAAAATAAATTTAGATCATATTTTGCTTGAGGGTTTATTATAGGTTATGTGCTAACCCCCGTGTCACCTCATAATGAATAGATTGTCCTATTTAGCTCCAAACAGTAGAAACAAAACAAAGTTAAGGGGGAAAATGCAAAAAGCATTTGATTTAAGAGTTATGAGTTTTAACAAATCAATACCACTGTCATTGAAATAAAAAAATATTGGCAATTATTATTATTATTAGAAACATTTCTGTAGCGCCTTACTTAAAATATATATTGTAAAGGGATAAACAGGTTTGTTTTTCAGGTTCCGTTTTAAAATAAACTGTAAATGTGGATGCTCCTTGCAGCAGTTACGTCAAACCTTCTCGTACTCTTTGCAATGTGAATGCTGCTAGTCAATTGTCTGAACGTGACAGAAATATAAGTGATCATGAAATGTGAACATAAACAGTAATCATGCTTAAAGGTGCTTGGACACAGATCTGAAGTTAATATTTTCTCAAATTTTCTGTATAATATCATGACTTATATATTTCAATAGCATTTCACACGAAAATATAATTAAAAACTTATTTTATCTGGAAATTATTTGAACTACGAATTCCTGGACGCGTTTGATTAACACATCCTTGCACTTTCACAAATTTTATCTTTATCCTTAATATTTAAGAAAAGAAGCGATTTTATTGTGTACTAATGAAAAACATTACATCTATAATCTAGAAAATTCAGAGTAGAAATGTGCGAAAGCAAACCCCCTCACTAATATCGTCAGCCCGTGCTCAGTGTTGAGTACAGAGTTTAACAAATTGAATACACCCGTGAAACGTAAACTGTTTTTGTAAACAGGGCACGAGCTCTGTTATTGTTAATGTTTTCAATTCACCGGGTGTGTTCAATTGTTAAAGTCTGCATACACCACTGAGCACGGACTGACAATACTGTGAGTGGGTTTTGCTTTCGAACATTTCTACTCTGAATTTTCTGGATTATAGTTTTAATATTTTTCATTAATACACAACAACATTGCCACTTTTCTTAAGTATTAAGAACAAAATTAAAATTTGTTAAAGTGCAAGGATGTGTCAATCAAACGCATCCAGAAATTTGAAGTTTCAATAACTTCGAGATGAAATAAGATTTTTATTATATTTTAGTATGAAATGCTATAGCAACATATAAGTCATGAAATCATACAGAAAATTTGAGAAAATATATTAACTTCAAATCTGTGTCCAAACACCTTTAAAAGTCCAATCAAACAATACAAATTATGAGCAGAGCAAACATGGAC